ATAGTTAAAAGGTATTTATGTTTGTGAATTATTTGTGTATTGCTTATTGATGTAGTGTAGTATGTTCTAAAGGAGTGTTGATAGCAAGTGTCAAACAAAAATGCTATATATATTAAAAATATATATCTAAAATTTAAATTTATGTTATAGTTTCACTAAAATATATAGCTCTTAACATATTGTTGAAGAGAAACAAAACGAAGCGATGAGATGATATTTTACATTTAAAATATTCTCAATGGATAAATTGAACTTTCTTATTGTAAAAACACGGAAGGATTAACTTTCAGTGTTAATTTTAAAATTTTATTATAGATTCATGAAAAAAATTATAATTTTAATTATTGATATTTATAAATTTTACCATTTATTTGTAATATTTGTTCAAAACATGCACTAAATTGAAATTCTTCCTAAAAACATTGGGATAAAAAAACTAAAAAAACTAGTAACTTAAAGATATTTTCAAAATCAGGTCCAAGACTAGTGCAAAACAAAGCCAGGCCAGAGTCAGTAGATTTTGGCCCAAATTGGAGAATTTTGGGCATTTTGGACTTTGAACCCAAAAGATCAATTTTTAGGACTAAACCAAGCCTATAATTCACTGACATTAATAAAAAATTTAAAACCCAAACAAATTTCAAGAAAATAGTTAACCATTGGCTAAAGATCAATTATATTGTATTTATTTATTTATTTTTATTTTTTTTGGGAAAGGTCATTGAGATCATATGAAAACGTCCATCATATTACCCATTTGCACTCTTCATTCACAACAAAGTTGAAAAAAGTTTTGGTTGCATTTGGTAGAGTTTTAGAATTATAATTTGAGAATAGAATTATATTTTGAGTTTCTGAGTTTTGAAATTATGATTTGAAAAGAGAAAATTTGTTTGGTTATGAGTTTTGAAAATATTTTTGAATTGAGTTTTAAATTTTTGATGTGACATATAAAATGAAAAAATTTGTTTGGTTATGAATTTTGAAAAGAGTTTTCAAAACTTAATTCAAAAACTTATAACTTATAACTAAACACACAACTCAAAACTCTATTGAAAATTCTATTCAAAATTCATAGCCAAACTCTATCCAAAAATTCAATTCAAAAAAATAATTTATCATTTTAGTCTAAAAAAATATTTTGTATGTTTAAAAAATATCAAAAACAAATATAATTTTTTTCTTTCAAATAACTGGTGGTGATTGGCAATTACAAAAAAAAAAAAACTGTTCTGATCAACTGGCTGGATGTCCGGGGGGACGTCTGGAAGGATGATCGGGTAGACCCAAAATTCAAAAATTCTACTGCTTTTCAGAATGGAGAAAACGAAATGTGAAAGAGAAATATGTTTTGAAAACTCCATCTAAACGTGAAGGAAAATATATTTTGAAATGTGTGATAGAATTACATTTTTAAAACTCCATTCAAACAAAAGAGTAGAATCACATTTTCAAAACTACACCAAACATATCTTGATTTTCCATGGCATTATTTACTTTACCAAGCTTGAATTAGAAAGGCATTTTAATAAGAATAAAGTTTTGTTCGTATAATATTTTTCATATTAATTGGCGCTTTATTTGAGACGAGTGGCGAAGCCACATGAAGATCAATGGGTCATGTGCCCTCCCGATTTTAGATTTATAATTTTTTTTTAACATATGAATATAAATAAAATTTTAAACAAAAATAATATTTAGATAAAATGTTAATGGCATTTCTAAATTTATGAAAACAATAATGGTTGTTTTATTAAAAATGAAAGGATTACAATAAATTATATTTATAATGGTTGTTTTATTAAAAATGAAAGGATTACAATAAATTATATTTTTATATATGAAAATTTTATAAAAAAATCTCAATACAAAAGTAATATTCATCGGTATTGATATGTAAATATAATTAATCTTATATATATGTAAAAGTTATTAGAATGTTGGTTATATTTATATGTGGTTCGTATGTTACTTTATTATTGATTGGTGATGTCATATGTCAATGATGACGTGATATCACTATTATATGAAATTTTTATTCAAATTTTATAAAAATTTAATTTATCTAACCATTTTTAAGACTTCAATAGATGACTTTTTTACATTATTCATGATATACTAGTTATACGCAATACTTTTTTTTTGATTTTACTCGAAATTAATTATAAAATTTTATGTGAAATATTTTTATAATAATTTATTTAAATTTTTGTATTTAATATTAATTCAAAAATTGTTATTATCTTTTTATTATTGATTATGAAAAAAAAATTATAATTATAATTAATAAGTGTCCCTTATTATGTAATTTTCTAACTCAGCTACTGTCTGAGAATAAGGTAGAAAGAAAAATATTTATTTATTTATTTATTTTGTCTCATATCATAGTTTTGGATATTAACCAAACTGTTGACTTTAGTAGAATAATCTATTGATTGGTAAGACATTTTTTTTTCTTGTAGTTTAAAAAATAATTTGAATTCATTGATGAAACATTAACCCAAAAATAATCAAATTTTCAAAATTATCAGTCAAATTTTAAAGGAATTGACTAGTAAATCTCGTTTTGTGGACTTCTAATCCATAATAGAGATGGCAACGGGGTGGAGCGGAGCTGGGGACTACACTCCCTGTCCCCTGTCCCCAATCCCCGACCTAAAAGTGACAATTTTCCGTCCCCGCCCTCGATCCTCGGCGGGGAGCCCATTGCCTCCCTTGACGCCTTCGCCCCCAAACGAGGATCAGGGATCCCCGACCTCGAAAAATCCCCGAATTATTGTAACATTTCATTTTTTTTTTGTTTTTGTTTTTTTTTATCTGAAACATCCTATTCAATTTGTCAACATTTTTTCAAATTAAAAAATCTGTAAACAACCTATTTAAACATATTTGTCAACATATTATCAAATTAAAAAATCTGTAAGCATTCTATTCAAACATAATATTGGGACTGCTCAATATGTCAACATGCTTTCAAAATAAATCTGTCAACATGTTTTCAAAATAAAAAATCTGTCAACATGCTCTCAAAATAATAAATCTGTCAACATTCTATTAAAAAATCTATCAACATGTTTTCAAAATAAAAAATCTGTAAACAACAAAATAATATTGGGACTATTCAATATATTGGGACTGTTCAAAAAATCTATAAACAACAAAATAATATTGGGACTGTTCAATAAAATAACATTTGTCCACATAGCATTTGTAAACAACAAAATAGTCCCATGCACAGCCTACACAAAAGAAAATTCAACAACCACATCACAAGCACAGAGAATAATTAGTCGCAAGCACAGCCCGCAAGGGATAGGCTACCCAAAAAATAAAATTAAAAGAAAAAATCCATTACAATATAAAAAACTGAACTGTTAAATAAAATATCCTTATACAATGCCACAAGTTTGAACTAATCAAACATTTCAGATTTTTTTTCTTTTTTATCTGAAACATCCTATTCAATTTGTCAACATTTTTTCAAATTAAAAAATCTGTAAGCATTCTATTCAAACATAATATTGGGACTGCTCAATATGTCAACATGTTTTCAAAATAAAAAATCTGTAAACAACAAAATAATATTGGGACTATTCAATATATTGGGACTGTTCAAAAAATCTATAAACAACAAAATAATATTGGGACTGTTCAATAAAATAGCATTTGTCCACATAGCATTTGTAAACAACAAAATAGTCCCATGCACAGCCCACACAAAAGAAAATTCAACAACCACATCACAAGCACAGAGAATAATTAGTCGCAAGCACAGCCCGCAAGGGATAGGTTACCCAAAAAATAAAATTAAAAGAAAAAAACAAATCCATTACAATATATCAAACCAAATCCATCGTGAAAAAAAAAAAAGAGATAAAAAACCAAGATTATTTGTCCAAATACTCATACAACCACATCACAATTTTCATCATCTCCTTCAACTTGAATTCCTGTTAAATAACAAAAGGAAAAAAATAAATAATCAATACTAGTAATGAATATATAATCAATTAAAAAATGTTAACAATTAATCAATACCAATAAAAAAATGTTAACAATTAAAAAAAAAGAAAAAGATGACAACTAATACAAAAGTGGCACACGACTCATCCGAGTCTATCTCATCATCATCATATATAGTTGCATAGCCCACCGATTCCAATATTGAATTTCCTAAAAAGTAAAAAATATAAATTCAGTATTAAAATTATTCCATGGTAATATAAAAGTGAAATAATAATATGAGTACCTTTAATCTCCGCACCCCACAACCAACTTTGTGCACACATTAATGCTGCTAATGTGTTTGGATGAAGTCTACTACGATGTGGACTCACCAACCTCTCACTAGTACTAAATGCTGACTCAGAAGCAACAGTGGATACAGGAATAACTAAAATGTCCCTAGCTATTGCCTGTAAGGTCGGATACTTTGGTCCATTAGCTTTCCACCAATTCAAAACATCAAAACCTGAAGTTCTTGGCAAAACATCATCTTCTAGATAATGGTCCAACTCTGATCGTACATTCTTCATTTTTTTACTTCTCTTTCTACTAATAAACAAATCAAATTCTGAAAGAGTCTCTGTAACAATTTCTAGATAAGTAGAAGAGTCACCAACAACATCGGTCTCCATACCAACTCGGTGCTGATACTCTTGCAACAAATCGGACGAACCCTATCAACTTCATCTTCAGCTTTGTCTCCATAAAGTTTTTCAAAATAAAACTCCAATACACTCGTCTTATACCTAGGATAAAGTACAGCAGCAACTCCAATAACACCATGCATCACTAACCAATATTTATCAAATTTTCCACCATTTTGACGCCATTGTTCTAATCACTTCAATTTCACAAGAGAGCCATTGAGACATGTCATCCTAATCTTACATAAAGCTGGGAAACAAACATTGGCTGTGGTATACTTAGTACCAGAAAATAACTCTGTGATAGAAAAAAAAAATCTTAAACCTCCCACTAATCTCTCTAGCAAACTCTCATTCTTGCTCACTTGACACAGTCTTATATTGAGGCTCTCTAATTTTCAACCGAGAAAAGACATCCTTATATAATAAGGCAGCCTGAAGTATCAAGTAGGTTGAATTCCACCTAGTTGCACAGTCAAGTCCTAATTTCTTAGTATGTGGAATACGCAATTGGTTAACTATTTCTTCAATTTTTTCTTGTCTTTTTGGTGTTGCTGTCCAATAAGCTGCACTCTCTCGAATTTTCTCCGCACCTACTCGTATGACATCCAATCCATCTTTCACTATCAAATTCAAAATATGCGCACAACAACGCATATGAAACAAAGTACCACCCAACAAAAGCAATATATTACTCAACTTATCCATCAACATGGTAATCATGGCATCATTTGTGGAGCAATTATCAACAGTAACAGTAGAGATTTTTCTATCAATATTCCAGTCCATCATATACTCAAGCAAAGTATCACAAAGAACTTCTTTTGTGTGTGGACATGGAACATAAATAAACCTAAAATATGATATTCATAAACAAGTATTAATAACATGCAAATTGAATTGAATAAGATAGAACTTTTAAATGATTTGTAAATTTACAAATATATACCTCAAAATGCGACTTTGCAATGTCCATGAATCATCAATAAAAATGTGCGGCGACAGCCATGAATCCTTTCTTTTGATTGCTAACAGTCCACATATCAGTTGTGATTGCTACCCTATTTTTATTATGCTTCACCAAACTCAATGTCTTCACCCTCTCATAATCATAAATATTTAAAATATCACTCTTTATCGTATTTCGAGAAGGCACTTTAAACAATGGTTGAAGTGCTGCTAAATATCGTTTAAAACCAACATGGTCTACGATAGAGAGGGGATATTCATGCAAGATTATGGCATGTGACAACTCTTTCCTAGCAAAATCTTGATAAAAAATATAAGAATTCATTTTTGGACTGTCTCTACTAAAGTTGTTAGTTAAAACTTTTTGCCTCGTGTCCATCACTTTTTTCCTAGTACAACTCTTATGGTGATCATGCAAATGCCTAGTTCCATTTTTTGAATCACCTCCAAGATGCTTATTACAATAATTAAATATTGCCTTCCACACCCCATTGACTTGTTGTTTCTTAAAATGTTCCCACACAACACTAGGTTTTCTTTTAGTTCCTCCACAAGTATTAGACTCTTCTTCTAAATCAATAACATTTTGATTAGAGAGGGGAGACGGTGAGTTCGTAGGTGAGTTGGTAGCTGGTGATGAATGTTGTGACGCGTCACTCTCAAATGGTACTTGAGAGTTAACTGGTACTTCAGCGTTAACTGGTGCTTGAGAGTTAACATATGACATTTTTAACCTTTATAAAAATAATATGGATTGAATTAATGTTAACAGAGGCAACATAACATTAGATTACTGGAACTGAGAAACAAATTAATAATAACTAAGCTAATGGATTGAATTAATGAAGCAGAGAAACAAATTAACTAAACATCAATTTTCTTTTTTCTTTCTCTATTTTCTTTGACATTTTTAACCTTTATAAAAATAATATGGATTGAATTAATGTTAACAGAGGCAACATAACATTAGATTACTGGAACTGAGAAACAAATTAATAATAACTAAGCTAATGGATTGAATTAATGGAGCGGAGAAACAAATTAACTAAACATTTGAAAATAGCAAAGAAACAATTAATAACTAAGCTAAAACAAACAGACATAATTTCAACTAATTTGTTTGTGAATTCACAATTATATTTAGCCAGACATAAGACATATGTACAAGATAGACATAATTACAATTATATTCAGCTATACATTAGGACCTGAGATTGAATACAATTATATTCAGCCAAACAATTATATTAAGCCAAATAGACTTTAAAAATATAAGACATATTCACAATTATATTCAGCCAAACAGACATAGGCCCCGTTTGGTAAAACTTATTTGTAGCTTAAAGCCACTCTTAGCTTAAAATAAGTTATTTTAGGGTGTTTGGTAAAAATTATTTCACCAACTTATACTTAAATAAAGCTAATTTTCAGCTTATTTTCCAAGTGGGTCTGGAGATGCTTAAGGAGATAGCTTAAGCACGCAGCTGTTATATAGGGTACTAAAATGACTTAAATGCCCCTCCTAATCTCCATGACATTTTTAACCTTTATAAAAATAATATGGATTGAATTAATGTTAACAGAGGCAACATAACATTAGATTACTGGAACTGAGAAACAAATTAATAATAACTAAGCTAATGGATTGAATTAATGAAGCAGAGAAACAAATTAACTAAACATTTGAAAATAGCAAAGAAACAATTAATAACTAAGCTAAAACAAACAGACATAATTTCAACTAATTTGTTTGTGAATTCACAATTATATTTAGCCAGACATAAGACATATGTACAAGATAGACATAATTACAATTATATTCAGCTATACATTAGGACCTGAGATTGAATACAATTATATTCAGCCAAACAATTATATTAAGCCAAATAGACTTTAAAAATATAAGACATATTCACAATTATATTCAGCCAAATAGACATAGGCCCCGTTTGGTAAAACTTATTTGTAGCTTAAAGCCACTTATAGCTTAAAATAAGTTATTTTAGAGTGTTTGGTAAAAATTATTTCACCAACTTATAGCTTAAATAAAGCTAATTTTCAGCTTATTTTCCAAGTGGGTCTGAAGATGCTTAAGGAGATAGCTTAAGCACGCAGCTGTTATATAGGGTACTAAAATGACTTAAATGCCCCTCCTAATCTCCATTATTTACGAAAATGCCACTATATATATCACCACATCTCAACACTGTTCACGAACCAGAGAGAGACACATGCGATTTCCGGCAATGTCTGGCGATTTTCGACAACATGTCCCTCACTCCGGCGATGAAACAGAGATCTCTCTGCTCTCTCTCTCCCTCGCTCTCTCTCTTTGTCTCTCGCTCTCTCTCTCTCGCTCTCTCTCTCTCTCTCTCTCTTTCTGCGCTACATCCATGGCACCGGTCGATCTCGGGTTCGTCGCCATCGCAATTGCAAAGTTCTGTCTGTCTGAACCAACGCCGTCGTCGATTGATCTGAACCAAGCTCTGTCGTCGATCTGAACGAACGCCGTCGCGATCTAAACCAATGCCGTCGTCGATCTGAACATACGCCGTCGCGATCTGAACTGTCGCCAGTCGTCGCCCCTGTGCTTTTCAAATCCTAGAAAATAAATTGAAAATATACTGAAAAAAAAAGAAAAATATCAATATTAATATTAATTAAAAAAGAAAAAATTGCTTTTCAGAATTAATAGTTAATATGAAAAAAAAATTAAAAAATTACTTTTCAGAATTAATATTTAACACAATTTATTTCAATTAATATTTACTTTTCATAATTAATATTTACTAAAAATGAAATATTACTAAAAATAATTAAAATGAATAATAATATTATGAAAAATAATAATAATAATAATAATTGATGGACAAAATGATACAAATTTTAATATTTAACACAATTTATTTCAATTAATATTTACTTTTCATATTAATAAAGAAAAGAAATACAGAGAAAGAAGATACGAAAAAAAATTAATAATTTTGATAATGAATATATGAAAGATAATATGTAATGAAATCACAACATTAATAAAAATTAGAACATGAATATTAATTTTAATAAATTAAAAAAATTAACAAAGAAAGAAGGGAAGAAAAAAAAAATTAAAAAGAAAAGAAAATAAGGTGAAAAAGAAAAGAAAAGAAAATAAAATGAAAAAGAAAAAGAAAAAAATGTATTATAAATGAAATCACAAATTTTATATCTTATAAGGGCAAAAATGACAATTATACAGAAAAAAACTATTTTACAGCTTATTTACCAAACACTACTCTGCTGCTTAAATCCATAATCCCACAGCTACACCAAACAGGTTACCAGCTTATGTTCACAACTATAAGTTATAATCTATTAAATTATAATCTATAATCACTTTCTCACAGTTCTACCAAACGGTGCCATAATTACAAACAGACATTAGACATAATTTCAAACAAACAAATTCACAATTATATTCTGCCTCAGGTCACAATTAAAAAAATACAAACAGATATGTGCAAGATTCAACTACCAATGAATGTTTGTGAATTTTTCCAAATCAAGTCAAAATAGGTCTCTCTCTCAATAGAATGATGAAAGTCGAGAAATCTTTTCCAAAAAAAAAACAAATCTTCACATAATTTCTACTTCAGAACACACCAGAAGTAGTAAAATACACTTATAAGCCACAATCAATAAAGAGAAAATACCTGGATGAGTAGATTGTGTAGCCAATTTTAGTTGTGTTTCTTTCTACACACAGAATAGCAAACCAAATGTTAGTAGTGATTAGATGACAACTAAGATCAAATAACTTTGAAATATTATCTTCCATTATCTACACACAGAATAGCAAGTCCCATAACTTTGATGGAAGATAATATTTTGTCATCTAAACATAGAATAGCAAGTTCCATTATCTTTCATTATCTTCTGTGTGTAGATAATATTATCAAGTCCCATAACTTTGAAATCTATGACATAAACTAAGATTACATATTTTAACAATAAAAATCATATCATATATACATATATATATATATATATATATATTTAATAGATCAATAACAGATCAAGAACTCAAGTGATTAGATCGAGATCAATAACAGATCAAGAAAAAAAAAACAGAGGTTAAAATCCCTTGACATAGAGATACTATATATACACACAGATATATATATATATATATATGTATGTATGTATGTAAACCCTATATCGAAATCCCGAGAGAGAGAGAAAAAAAAGAGATACCCTTTGAAAATCAGCAGTGAGAGAGGATCGCCGGTGAGGGAGGAGTGGCGGTGAGGGACGAGCAGCCGTCGTATGTGAGAGAGAGAGAGAGGGAGGCGAAACTCTAGGTTCTAACCAGTAGCGGCGGTGAGGGAGAAGAATCGACAGTGAGGTATGAGCGGTGGTGAGGGAAGATCAATGGTGACGGAGGATCGGCGCCGTCATTGTGTAAAAGAGAGAGAGAGAGAGAGAGAGAGAGAGAGGAAGGCGAAACCCTAGAGAGAGAGAGAGAGTGTGAGAGCAGGAGCAGAGACGACTCTGTGTTTTTGTTGTGTGTATGAGTGTTCAGCCAAAAACCTACACACACACACACACATATGTTATATATGAGTAGGGGCAAAATAGTAATTTCACGTCGGGGGGCAACCAAGCCGAGGATCGGGGCCGGGGTCGGGGCCGGGGTTGGGTCGGGCCAGGTCCGGGGCTGAAACATGTATCCCCCTCCCCGGTCTAAATATCATCGGGGATTTAATTTTTAATACCATCCCCGGCCCGTCATAGGTATTTTTCGGGGAATAGCCACTTAATTCAGGGTCAGGGGATCGGGT